TCACGGTGGTGTTTCCAGACGCTCCGATTATAGAGGTACAAGTATCAGATTGGAAGTGCCTTGTCCTGTTTATTGGAATACATTGTCCTCAAATATATTTATTTGCATTTTATAATGCAGTTTTAGTCACTGGGTTGCCCTCTTCTGCTTCATGGCAAGACCTTAAGGTCAGTATGATTTATACCGTAATGCTTACACTTCATTGATTCCTCTTGCATTTCTTTTAATCCCACTTCATGCACCCTATGCTCCAACCTTGATTGTAATAATTGGTGATGTCAACTTCTCAATGCTATAATGACATCTGTAGCGTGATAAATTCAGATAATTGTGCTCTTTCAGGATCTGCCTTGTGGGAACTATTATCATGAACTGAAGTTGAGGTGTTTTTGAAATATTAGTTTAAGTTGTGACTTGTGAGCTGAAGTAGAACTTAGTAAAGAACTGAGAATAGAGACAAAACTTAGATAGGGGGAGAGCAATTATTCTGTTATATGCATTTCAATCCATTAAATTGGCATTGACGTTAACTTTTGGTCTTGATCAATTTTTTTCTTAACTTTTTCCCGGTCGAGCACCTAATTAGAGAATTGAAAAAAGATTCATAAGATTTGCGATATATGAAAGCATGATTAGCAAGATATATTCTATACCATTAAGTTCGATATTGTGATTGACAAATGACACCTTTGAGTTTTGTTTTAAAAATTACTGAAGTATCTGTTTCCTATCTTTTAAAAGACGATAGAAGATGGCACATCATTCGCCGCAGATTCCATGATTTACATGTTGGACCCAAAAGCTTTTGTTTCTGCCACTTTATTTCTTAAATTGTTTCCGGTTCCTAAAAGAACTTTGAACCATCATAATCATTCAAGTTGAATGTAGTTATTACTTTTTCCCCTGGCATGAGCATTTTATTATTTGGGTTGGAGTGTATTTGTCTGTGATCCACTTTGTCATGCACCATTTCTATAGCTAATACATTGACAATGCTAAGACTGATGAATATTTAGTTTGCTGAACAGTGTGATAGTTTTTATAATGCCATATCTCATTTTTTTTTCTAAAGCCACCCTTTTTGCTAGAAATGTGTGCTTTTGGTTAGTCTTCTACTGCACTATTTGAAGGCAACCATGCAGTGATTTCATTGGCTCAAGGGCACTTTCAGGGTTTGTATTTTTGCCTCACTTCTCTTGTTTTCCAGGATCACATGCGTCGAGCTGGGGATGTTTGCTTCTCCCAAGTTTTTAAGGAGGGAGGTGGTAAGATTATTATCAGATAGAAAGTTTTTTTGGTTATGCTATGGTGAGTCGATGTGGATATTCTTAATTGAGTGGTAAGGCTGATGTGATAATGTCATTTATTTTGCAGGCACCACCGGGATTGTGGACTACACAAACTATGATGACATGAAATATGCTGTAAATAATTATCTGTTTTTTGCCCTGTGTAGTCATTCTTTTGAAGTTAAAGCTCAAACTTCTGGCCATCCGTGGTGTTATTTAATATTCACTATCTTTTATCACAGATAAGGAAATTGGATGACTCTGAGTTCCGGAATGCTTTCTCTCGCGGAGTTATACGTGTATGTTTTATGCTAATATGCTAGTGGTTGATGTGTTGTACACGCTGCTTTTTTTGCATGTGCTTTACTCTACATGAAAACTACCTATAGGTGAAGGAGTATGATTCTAGCCGCTCTAGGAGCCGTAGTCGCAGCCGGAGCAAGAGCTATAGCCGTAGTCGCAGCAGAAGCCGAAGGTTGGTACCTGTTTCATTGCACTGTCTACCTAAAATTTGTCTCGGAAGCTCTCTTGCTTTCAAATGAATAAGAATGATAACAATAAAAACCATGTCTTGTTCTATATCTTTGTACAGCAAATCCCCAAAAGCAAAATCTTCTCGCCGCTCAAAATCCCGTTCGAGGTCTGCTTCTCCTCGTTCTCGTTCTGGATCAGAACCCCGCCCATCTGCAAGGTACACATTTCTAGTTAATATCTTTGGTTTATGTTCTGTGTAACTATTATGCTAAAGGTTCATGCCTTAGATAAATCAGACCTATGAAACAAGGGCATTTCATCATCTATAAGTAACAAGTCCTCTGCTATGTATTTAAGCTTGCATCCTGCATCATGATGCCATAAGAAATGGTTTCTTCATCCTGTTTCTTATATCAATTTGTGTTCTCATGTTAAAGATTTGCTTTTCCTCTTTCTTACATATTTTATGTTATATTAACTGGAGAAGTTGATACACTAGCATCGATCTAGATGAATGTTTACTCTAACGTAGGCAGTAAGAACGAGTTTTTAGGAATAAAATGAGTTCATGTTACTCAGGATCCTGGTTCGAGAACTGGGTACATTTGTGGCTTTTGACTTCGTTTACTTTTCTCGTTTACTTTTCTAGTTTTAATCCTGTGGATTGGTTTATGATTTTGTGTTAGCAGGCGTCAAGAAACTGATTCTCTTAAACTATCTTTCGTTTTTTTTTCTTCTGAAAAATTTGAAGATGAAACTGCCTTGTTTCTGCCTTTTTAGATATGGATATATACGACTCTCAAAGGATTGCATGTTAGGATCTTCATGGGATATGTTACCAATACCTATAACACTTGTGGTTGTGGAGGTATGATATTTTGTAGAAGCCAGTTTTGGAATCCCTTGTGGTGTCTTTTTAATAAGCATCACCAATGTCCACTGGTGCTAGATTGGGACAAGAAGAATCCTGGATATGGATTGCAATCATAAAGCTGGATTGTGAATAGGCGCTATATGATTATGGACTATGGCAATCACGGTTTTAACAAGTTGGATCATATCATTGCTTCTCCAAATGCCACGTAGAAAATAAAGCATGCTGTTCAACTTATTTGTCGGCTTTATTGGTATCTTGTTCACTTGTGTCTCGATTTGCATCCTTTTTTCTCCTTTCTCATTTAAAGATAATTTATCGTTGGCCTTCTAACTTCATTAGGTCTGTCATATATTGGTCTCTGTTGGGCTGCTAAACATTTGGATTTTCCATTGATTGTATTGATTATGGTTACTGATTCTCTGACGTGGAAGTGGCATCAAGGCTCTTGGATCAGAGTAAATTAAGAGGAACTTTTGGATATTAAACTCGGTTGTTTCTGGAACTTTTGCAGATCTCCTTCAAGATCCAGATCTCCGCCACCTTCTGTGAGTGAAACCGTGATTTAATTTTAACCCGTTAAAGTTAACTATCGTCTGGGAGTTCCATCTTACATCTTTTCCTGCTAAATATGTATATCATTTGGCTGGACAATTGTGGTAGCATTTACTCTGATTTTGTTTCATCAGCCGTTTAGATTTTGCTACTGAGTATTAATCCTCTTGATATCGGTGTCGTGTTCTGTTTTCTTCTGAACTCAGCGCCCAAAGCGGGTTAGTAAAAGTCCCAAAAGACGCAGTCCTAGTAAGAGCAGGAGTCCGAGCAGAAGCAGGAGTCGTAGCAGGAGCAAGAGTTTATCACGGTATGGTTGCATACATCTATTTTTTGCAATAAGAATAAGAAAAAGTCATGCTGGTAGATGTACATGTATATTATATGCATAATTTTTTTATTTGTAATTTGGCAGGTGATGAAGCTGGTGCTAGTTGATGGGTTGGTTCTGAAGTGGAGCGGGAAAGGTTGTTTTGGAGCTAAGAAGTTAGCTTAGCCAAGTAAGTTGAATTTGGAACATGACTTATATGTAAGCATGGATTTGGGATTGTGGATGTCTATTTATACTTCACTAGACCGAGTTGTTGTATGTTGACTAGAGTTAATGCCTTTTTGGTTCAAAGTTTTTCTAGTTTCTTGTGGATTCCAGATGGCACATATTTGGTATTTGATGTTTTGACAACGCTTGAACAAGCCTCAGCCAGCTGCTTGGGCATGCTACTGTTAGGGCGGCTTTCATTTTGTTTCTGTTGTGGGCTCGTTTGTGTCGACTATTTTCACTTGACATGACATGACATGACATGGTAGGGAAGGAAGGTTGATCTCGTCTTATGACTATTTGTAGGGCTATACCTGCTTTAAAGACGTATTTTGGCATGACATGGCTCATCCTGCTTACCGTCAACTCGATTCTTTTATATTTGGAGTTGATCTCTGTTTTGATAAATATATCATGCGTGTTTCTAAAATGAAGAACATGTGATGTTGGACAAGGAAACGGTAATGTTATCGTATTATATTTATGGATTTTCATAGCGAATTTAATGTCCATTTGGCAAATTTTAAGCAAATACAATCGTTACTCTAAAATAGTAAAAAAAATATTAAACAGTTTTGGTTGTGGGCCTATGTCTATGATGATGAATAAATATATGCGGATGCATTTATCAGGCAACGTAATGATTTTCTGTGACTGTTTGTTCATTGGTGAAGGTTTTAATTTTAAGTTAATTTGTATTAAAACCAATGAAAATAAGAAAAATTACCAAAAACTAATTTTTTTTTATAAAATTAAGTTGGAAACGTTCTCACTTGGATAAGTTGGTGAATTAATTTCAATTTTACAAGAAAATAGGTTTAAGACAGACAGACAGACGATAAAAATAATTATGAAGACATGGAAACAAACACATAATACAAAATTATTTAAGCATCATTTTGTTGATCAAAATTAACATAATAACAACAATAATAATAATAATAAAACGAAAGACGCAAACAAGAAGAAACCAGACACATGGCGACATTGAGCACCACCTGTTCTCCTTTTTGTTCATAATTAATTGTATATCTACTAAAATGCAAATTAATATTTTGATGGTTTTTTGTTTCATTTATTATCAAATGATTTTTTTCCTTCCATAAATCGATGTCCATTTTCATGAGAAGACACGTCACGTTTTTATAACAATTTACATAAATAACATTACCTTTCCATGTTTTTCCCCTTGGTAATTAGTGTGGGCATAACATAACAATGACACCTGCTTGTTTACTCCACTATAGAAATAAAGGAAACAAATCCAGACACAGGCTTTGAAAGAGATACAATACTAAACGACATTAGCGGTTCGATTCCACTGGATTTTATCCAGGGCTCTTGGAATTAGTCGAGGTACACACCCACAATTAACAAAAAAAGGAAATACAACATTGAAACAAGTTTTATTTAAGAGCCACGAAACAAGAATAAGTATTATGGTCACACATACACAGATAGGAGTAGTCTTTAAGTTTGACCAACCATGCCTTAAATCTTTCCAACTTAGCAATGGCAGGAGGCCATTTCTGCTGGCTTAGTGTTTGGTCTTTGGCTTCTTCACTACCATCACGGTGCAATGGGCATGATGGGTGACATAGTCGCTTACACTTCCCAAAACCGCCCTACAAAAGATTTTAAAATCATGTAAAAATTAACAGAAAATAGGAGTGATTTGCAGTGGCATTTTCGCATACGAAAATCCCACCACAACTTTTGAAGAGGATTCCATGTTTGCGCAACAATTGCTCACAAGTAAGAAACCAGAATCGTTTGGTTTACTTATCAAGCAATCAGGACTGGATAAAGGTTTAATTAGTTGAATCATGATCTTTTCACAGTAATATAATTGCAGAATAAATACATCTTAGTGCAGGTAGCTTCCATCAAAGCATGCGTGTTGACATGCATAAAATCTAGTTACAAAAATAAACGTCACCTTTTAATTGCTCCATAACCATGGCTACCAACCACCAACATGGCAGCATGGTGCCTATCTACAGCTTCACATAGAACATTCCTAGCATCGCCTTCCACAACTTCCACATTCACATCATCCACCTATACAGAAAAGTAGCTTTTAGAAATAATCCAAACAAGTACAAGTAATAAATGAGTGAAACATTTGAACCTCTGAAACAACCATAATCTTTCAAATGCGTTAGATGCTAAAAGTTGCAATGAAGATGAGTCAAAACACGCTTATGGTTCCAATCACACAAGCTCTTTTCCTATACTTGACAGTATTAGATGCTAGAAGTTCCAAAATCGGCTTACAATTCCAATCACACTATGTAATGTAAACAAGTGATTATCCGGGACATGAACTTGCTTCATGATCAGATATTGAGACAATAGCATTTCCATTGGCTTAAGTATACATACAGAACCTGATAGAATSTTTGCACTAGGACCATTACTGTTTCGACATTAGGACTTTCCATAACCTCGCAATTTTGATATCACACTCAATTCCAACCAGGAAAATCTTATCAATTTGGAATTGGAATCGACAGATTAATTAGTATTCAAGTAGATTCTCCCTGCTATGCTTCAAAAAAGAAAAAAGAAAAAAAAAGTAGAAACCGATTTGGAATGGCAAAGCTCCTTTGCCTTTTCCACCACTCGAGCAGCGATCTTCTTCAAATCCGAATCCACAAAGGGAAAAACATCAGCGGCACCTGGATTCATGGATCATATAGGAGAAAACAAAGTTAGGAAAGAGGAGATGAAATGAGCAAGTAAAAGTGAGATGAGTTGAGTTGAGTTGATTGTACCAGGACCGGCGAAACCGATGGCAGAAGTAGGAGAAGGCTTGGAGTGAAGAAGGAGCAGCTTGAAGGGAGAATTGGGGAAGTGATCCAGGGTCCATTGAAGTGCATAAAAACTGTGGTCGCTGTCATCCAGGCCGACGATCATGAGGGGTTTTTGTGGCGTTTCCATTTTTTGTACAATGATTTCTGTAGGTGGGTGGGTGATTATAATAGAAATGGGAAATGGGAAATTCCAGAAGAGGCGAGATACTTAACGACGCCGTTAGACAGGGGTCCACACTACCTTACCTTTTAATTTTATGGTTTTCAGTTCAAATTCCTGGTTACCTTTTAACAGAAAATCAAAAAAAGAGTGAATAGAATACCATGAATGAATGAGTGTTTTATTTTTTGTGGTTTTTCTTTAATCTAAGCCAAGCCAAGCCAAGCCAAGGTATGTAATAACTTGGATGAATTTATTGTAATATCTTAGTTTGAATGAACCTACCTTCAATTTATTGTATGAAGATGATTGAACTAGAATTTTTAAAACATCTACAATCATTTCGTTCTCGTTCTCGTTCTCTAGAATGAATGATATGTAACTTGAAATTAGAATTATATTTCGGTTCTTTAGGATGAATGATATTAGATTTAGATACGGTCATTACAAAGTAAATAATCTCTCTCTTACTTCATCTCATCATACACATAACTCTCATTCAACATCTTCTTTTTGCCCATCCAACAACCTAACTTCCCGGATTTATTCCTAACCCTACCCATCCTACTTTGCTTTTTAAGACTACTACACTTCCATTCATCATCAAAACTGCAATTGTTCACAAGTCCGACGACCGGTTCGCATATTCTTGTACCAATGCCCCAAACAGAGAACCCCTTTCCATCAACCGCGAAGGTCTGTCGAATTCTTTCGCATAACCTGCAAGTTTCCCATTCCAACTCCAAATCATAACCTCACAAACAACTACTACCACTACAACAACAAGGGATGAAGGGACTTACCGGCATCGATGACCAAAACACGATCACAGTCCATAACSGTTGGTATTCTGTGAGCAATGCTGATTATGGTGCAGTCCGCAAAGTCTTCTCGTATGATTTTCTGAATCACCCCATCCGTCTGTGAATCAACAGAAGCCGTTGCTTCRTCCATGAACAACAGCCTGCTGTGCTTCAGCATCACTCGTCCCAAACAAAGAAGCTGTCGTTGTCCAACACTCCAATTATCACCATTATCAACAACTAAGAAACAAAAACAATATGTTCAGTTTTTCTTCTCTTCACCAAGAAAAGAAAGCAACGACTCTTTGTTGGATTCGTTTCTAGTACCTGCAGAATCTAGTTTACCAGGTTTTGCAGCAACAACATCGTTCAGTTGGCATCGTTCAAGACTCTGCAAAACAAGTTCTAGGATGAGATAAATCCATGGAGGTCAAAACATTATAGATCATGGTCCAACGATCCATGAAAACAGGAGTGTATATCTCTCTCTCTCTCTCTCTCTCTCTATATATATATATATATATATATATAACATTACCCTCCAGATCTCTTCATCAGAATATTGACCAATTGGGTCGATATTGCTTCTCACAGTGCCTTCGAAAAGGATGGGTTCTTGAGGAATGATCCCAAAMCGAGACCTGAGATCATGGAGTCCGAGGGTGGAGATGTTGACGCCGTCAATGATGATACTTCCACCAGATGGCTCCACCAACCTAAACAGAACCTGGATCAGAGTTGATTTCCCACCTCCAGTTCTACCAACCACACCAATCTTTTCACCTCCTTTAATACTTAGGCTGATCCCTTTGATCACCAGAGGCGTGTTYGAACGATATCGAACCTGTAACATTCAACAACATCAATTCAGAAAAACAACCCGAAAATGTTTTYCAGTCTGGGATTACAGATAATTGTAAGTTACCTGCACATCTTTGAGCTGTACATTGCCATGAGAAGGCCAATTTGGAGGTGGGGGGCTGTCTTTTTTCACCCATTCCGCTTCTGATGGTATCTTGGTGAACTGTTTAATCCTCTCAACWGAAACCATTCGGTTTTCAACAAAGCAGCTCGTGTATAAAGCCCAAAACAGCACTCCATTGAGTGACAATCCATACGAAAGGGATAATCCAACGTTCTCTGGCATCAAGATCACCCATTTCAAGGTTACTTCTCTAAAGGAACAACAAATCTTTACATGATTTTTCGGGTTTAGTGTGAAATGTACCTGGTTTCACGATGCTGCTAGGCAAGATGATCATGAACACAGTGGAGACACATAGAAATACGCTTCCAATGAACTCCAAACGGAAACCTAACCACCCATTGGAGCCATTATTGTGGAAATCCATTCTAAGGTTTCCATTCACACGCTCAACATTTTCGTGAACAAACCTCTCTTGCTTCCTAAAACACCGAATAGTCATAACCCCGGATATGCTCTCCGAGAAATGGTGAATAACAGGTGCTTTTGTAATCGAGTCAAGTCGTGTTATTTCACGAGACGTTGCAAGATAGTATCCCTGAAACAATCAGACCATAAGATCAAATCAGATCTTATGAGTTAAGTTGTTATATGCTTACAACTTAACCTGGTTGAAACATACCCGATACCAAAAATTTAGCCAGCCGAGTGGAATCAATAGGAACACAGTTGGCCAAGAGTTCTGACAGGTGACGATGATAATGCYAATCACTGTTATGTACATCGAAAGAGTCAGGCTCATTATAAACGGAAGGAAAACATCGATGTTGGTTTGATCACTTGATGCCTGAAAAAGGTCAAACTTTAAATGTTAGCAGTTATTCCGACAGAAAGTTAACAAAAAACACAAGTTTTAAGAAACTTTACCCTACTAAGAATTCTTCCTGAAGGTGTAGTGTCGAAAAATGACATCGGAGCATGAAGAATGCTGTGTAGAATCTGCTTAAAGAAAATCTGGCAAGTTTTAAGCCCAAGGACTGTTGAAGAAATGACTCTACCAAATACCAGAAGGAAGGAAACACCAGCTATGGCTGTATAAACTTCAATRAACAACGAAGGGTTGAAGGAGGCAGCACGATCAGCAGAGGTTTCGTAGGCCAACCAGTAATCACTCGCCATCTGTGTGCCTTGCCACACCACCGAGAAGAACAAAACAACAATCACACCCCACCATCCGAAAGCCTCGGTCACGTAAACTCTATACACATTTAAGCTGATTCTWCCTGTTTCCCTCTCCTCTTCTTCTATTAGTTTTGATGTTCCAATGATAGAACTAGACTTGGATCGTTCTAAAGCCTTTTCATTTTCGCCGTTCACTTCCCTAGTGTTATGGCTAGCAGATTTCTGGAGAGGTCTAGGGGAGGTGTTTTCCGATGTTGTAGCTTCCGTTTGTACCATTTGCATTGAGGTTTCGTGGGCCGACACYAAACCTTTGAAATCCAGACCAGATTCTAGTAGTTCATCATATTTTCCTGATTGAACAATCATTCCATCTCGCATCACCTAACAAAGTTCAAGTTAGATTCAAGAATCAATAAACAATCCAAACACTAATCTGAAAAATTATATTTAAAAAAAGACTTGAGCTACTTACTAAGATCAGATCAACATTATGGAGGAAATCAACTTGGTGGGTGACGAGCAAGATTGTCTTGTTTCTGAGGGATCCCCTCACACACTCCTGAAATTTTTTAAAGAAAAAAGAGACATTTGAGATTTTGTAGAGCAAAAGAAG